TTGAAAAAACCAAATCATATGCAAGTATTTCAGCTAACTGAGGCTAACAAAGCTTCCCACAAATAAAAGAACACAAAGCACCATTTGCATCAATAAGAAAACATGTGGAGCTTAAATATTCTCTTTGCTACCCTGACTTTATTAGGACAGATATAGATATTTGAGAAGTTTAAAATGTTGTCCAAAGCTCTTTAAGCACAGTTTCCAAATAATATTTATTCCATTCTTGAATTGATCAGTTAAGTAGTATTAATAATCATTTAGTGTGACTGAATTGCAATCTAAATTCCTGTTGAAAATATAAATTCTGCACACATTCTTGACTTTCCACTTGGTGATCATTTAGCCAGATCATTTTATGCATCAGGCAAGTCCAGACTGGTTTCCCTGGACAATATGCCCACAGGGTGAAGGCATGTTGTAATCCAGATTATAACTTGAAATGAAACATCAGGCAGTGTGTGTTCACGTATTAGGGTTTGTGGTGCCTGTGCCAAAATACTGCCCCTCTAACTCCCTTAACACTTGTGGAACTCAATCAAAGAGAACACAAGGTATGTTTCATTTTAGCTCCAACATTCAGGAACAGCAGGATTCATAGTTTAAAAGAAAGTTGGAGATTTTGGGCATGTTTTTGGAGATAAAAAATCTTTGGTTCAGGGAGTTTTTTGGTTTTCTTTTTAAACTGTCTGGGGAATCCCTACTGCAAAGAACAAACAGAAGATTTCACTCCCACAACAAGAAGATCCAAGGCTTTTATTTCTGCCAGTGGAACAAAGACACATAAAACAAAAATCAAGTTTTAAAATTCAGGAGTGGCACCCCCAGAACTGAAGTGGAAGACTGTCAGACAGAAGCATGCAGACATCATTGAGTTGCTTGCTGTCCCTTTCTCATTTCTAACACTGCATTTACATATGCTAAAACATGACCAGTATCACTCAAATAACTATTTCCATTTATGGTCAGTAGTAAGGACTACATACTCCTCAGAACCGACCCCATAACATACCTCATGGCCAAAGGAGACTGCTGGAGCCACAGCTGCAGCCACTCTGATAGGGAAATACGCCTCCAAACCAGAGATTCCTTCAAAGTGCTGTTCTCCGACAACTAACTCTGAGAAGTTGCCTGCTGACAAATGAGCTGATACTCCACAAATTGTCCTGCTTCTTCAACAAAACAAAAACGTGCTACTGTGGCAAGGAAATTGAGACAAAATGCATAGCCTTTCCCTGAGATTTTTCTTGTTACGCATTGATATGTTTAGTGAGAAGGAAATGGATTCAATCTTGCACTTTACCCCCATAGCAGTTACAACCAGACTCATTCAAATAGGTTTATTGTATGTGTATGTCTTTTGTGCTGGGAGATGGGGGTGGGGGTGGTCATTATATGCTTTGTTTGTTGTTTTTCTGGTTTTATTCAAAAAAGAATAAGCTACTTTTCCTCAGAAAATTGCTGCATTTCATTGCTGTTGACTTATCTGTATCACTGCTGACTACAGAAGAAAATTCTGGAGAAGAAAATTCATAGTACATGCCATCTTCATAGTGCCATGGAAGAGTGAGCTAACTATCTAACAGATAACTTCTGTTGTTGTCCTCTGTAAATGTCATGGGTTTTGAATAACTTATTGTTTTCCCTGTTCCACACACAACCTGAATTCATTTTCTTAGTGGGGGCCACGATTAGTACATTACCAAAAAACCTCACATTTAACTTACAGGTCATAGGTAAATATTAATAATATTAAATAAGTCATCCAAACATTCCAAGTTAAGATTAATGGTCTGCACTGAAGCCTACACTATAAACTGACTGAATGGAGAGTAGTCTAGCTCACCCTGCTGTACAAAACAGATTTTAAGGTCAGCAGAAAAAAAATTATTGGGTTAGTTCAAACTAAATGACCAGCTAATACAGTCCTGGCAATTAAGGCTGACTGAAAAGTAAGAGATGCGAGAGACCAGAAATCAATTACCCAAAGCCAACATGCTGGAAATGAGGATTAGCTTAGGAACACAAATATAGGATAGAATGGGCTGTTACAGCCATCACACAGCTCCACACATCCCTAATTTGACCCTGGTGCCAGGAGAGAAAGTGGGGTGAAACAGCCAAGATTTGTCATTGTGGAGCCATGCCCACAACCAGGAATCAAGGGGCCTAAGCCTTCCTTATGAGCCGGTGGCCTTTACCTTTCACCACTGTAGCCTTGAAGCCACACAGACCCAGCAGCTTCCAGAGAGCAAGTGTCACTTCAGCCCTCACTTCACATTCTCCAATAGTCCAGGCTGTAGCTCACACCATCTGAGAACAGCAACAGCTTCCTCCCACTGTGGGTTTGCAGCCAGAGGGCATGTCTGCCCCAAAAGGATCTCTGCTAGGTCCTGGTTCCTTCCCATCAGCCACAGACATACGCCGTGGTCACTCCCTCATCTTATGATCCAGCAGAGCAGATGCTTTTTCCCAAAGCTTGTGATCCAGCACAAGGGATTTGTCATAGCCTGGGAGGCAAACAGCTTGAAAGGTTTGCCTGGGATGTAATGCTGGACTGCTGGAAACTTTCCCAGCAGCCCAGCACCCATCCTCCTATGACTTTGCCACGTTCTTTTATTTCCTTCTACCTTCTGCTTATGCCCAGTTTAGCTTGCCAAGGCTGCAGATTTTGCAGCACAACTGCAGCACAGCTGGGTCAGCCTGGCCTCCCTGCTCAGCCAGCCTGAGCCTTTCTGCACTTCTTGCCTCCCTCCACCACTGAAGGTGCAAGTCAGGCAGCATTAGACACAAAGTGCTTTTCTCCCCTCCGTGTTATTTTTTCTCTTCCCTCTACTGCCATTGAGGTGGCACTGCAGCTACCAGAAACAAGCTCTGTATTCTGGCATTCCTTCTGCACAGCATGGGCTGACCTTCAGTATCACTGTCAGATGCAGACGTCATGAATTAGATTTTTTTAAAATAGTTTTCAGCTGCTGAAGGCACAGGAGTAACAGGAATAGAAGCCACTGCTACAAATTAAAGCCTTCCTTAATAGTGTTAAAACGTGTTTAATGATTTATTCTTTTTTCTTCCTCTTTTCCTATCCTGTAATCAAAGCTTACAAAAGGGTGAGACCCTGAAACATGGGTGGACCTCTTAAGACATCAACATACTAATGCTATATACTCCAGTTTGTAGAGGGAAGGTCATAGCTGGCATCTAATACCCACATTTAGTTCCTCTCTTCATCCCCACAACTTGTGCCTCTGCAGTACCCCTTCTCCACCCCCCCTTGGAGATGAACAGTCCTGCTTCTGTCCCCAGAGACCCCATCTCCCAGCTGTCCTGTCCTTGCATGGAGAGGGGACCTACTGGTGGCTGCCCTGCACACACCAAGGGATAAGTCTGGCAGGTTAGAGCTTGTGTGATCACACAGTCATCACCAGCTGAGAGGTTATTTGTCTGACTCAGGTTTTCAGGACCTCTTTTTGAGTCAAGGCCTTGCACAATAAATTCCAAAACAGCTGGAACACACTAAACTTACTGCATGAGAGAGGACAATGCATAAATGGGCATCCATGAATCCTCAGCCAAACTCCCCAAATTCTCAAAAATGAGATTTCAAAGAGAAGGGACAAAAAATGAATGGAAAGGACACACTAAGGGAAAGAACAGGATAAAAGTATCAGGCTAAATTACAACATCAGAATTATAATTTAGGGCCCTTTCCTTGTTTAATAAAATGTCATATTCTCAGGTGAGTTCCTAAAAAAGTCTGCAATAAGGTATGTCAAAGTAATTATTTCAGAGACTAGATGCTGTGCAGTCATAAGTAAAAGAATTTTAAATTGTATATTTGCCATCCAAAGCAGTAAGTCAGAGCATCTCTACAGAAAAGAACCCTACCCTGACTACTAGTACTGTTACAATCACCCTTAGAATTCCACAGTTTTGACTCTCTAGGTCTACCTATTTTGTGAACACTGACAGGTCTCTGTTCAGCCTTTATAGGCACACAGGCTCAAATAAAACCAACCTGAACTGACAATTAATTAAAACTGCACATCAAAACACTGCTGCTTCCATAAACATCTGCTGTGAAATGTTACTTGAAATAAACGTGCTCCATGAAGACTCCACACTAATTACTGTTAACACTTTCAGGAGCAGGAAAATAGGCAATAGAGCAAAAAAAAGGAGGCTGATCAGGAATCTATTTGGAAAAAGGTCTCTGGTCTTTTCTACATACTGTTAGATATAAAATAGGCTGAAAAATGCTCTAGGCATTTTCTTAAGAGTTGCTGAGCAACAGGGAAAAAAATATATGCAAGCAGAAAATGCTCAATGCTTTTGGTACTGAGCTGTGTGGTGAAAATTGTAGACACCATCCCCTCCACTCCCTCCTGAGACTGGAACTGCCCCACGCTGCATGTCCACTGCAGCTCTCACTTTAGCTGAGCTAAGACACTTCAGGTGCTGGAGTTTAATCACATATGCTCTGATGACCACCAAAAAGTTACGCTGCTGTTTCCATTTAATTCAGTAGGATTTTGGTGAACTAGTATGAAGTTCAAATCAGCAAAAGAGAAGGTAGCACTCAGCAATAACTACAAGCCATGTAACTTCTTCACAAAATTAAGGAGAGTGCCAACCCTTTAGAATGTTTTTCTTGCAGCCTTCAAAACTCCCACTCCCCACCAAATGTAACAGATGAAACACAAACCAGGAGGTAAAGAAACTCAAACCACCTTAGGTGTCTCACAACAAGAAACAGGAGATAGAATCTAAGCATTAAAAAAAGCAAAAATGGAGGCAGAAAGGGAAGGAATTATAATTTTCTTAGCACAAAAAGACATTACCGGGATAAGGACTAAGAAGAAAGGAGAAAAAAGAGCCCCTCTCCAGCATGTGAACAGCCTGAGATCAGGTTCACATCCTCTGCAACATTTATATTGTTTAAATACAAAATATTGGTTGCTGCAGCTCCATATTTACCTTAGCTGTTAAACAGTACCCACCTCATTTTCTCATCCACAGCCCAGCAGCGATGTTAACTTCTATATCTGCCAAGTCTTCTTCTGAACCAAAATATCTTTCAAAAACACAGCAATAAGTCTAAACACGTATATCGTCCTTGGGTTCAGAGAAAACCTTGCTCAAGCGTTAAGTGGCAGGCAGAAGGTTACCCAGGCAGGCTCTTTATGTTGGCAAAAGTGCAATGCTGAACTTTCACAGCAAGTAGGTAAACACATAGCTATGTGCAGCAGGTAGTCTGGCAGCACTAGCAGTAGTGAGAAACAATGTCAGGACAACCTTGGCAGAAGCAGCTTTGTGGGTTTTAACAATGGTTGTGGGCACAGGAGCTGAACAGACCAAACAACCACAGCAAAAAGCCATCTACAGCTCTCGGTGGGAGCTCAAAGTGCACAGAGCTCAAGCATGCCAGCTGTGACGCTGTGTCCTCCACCTCCACACTCACAGGGACACTCTATTTGACTTTCCAGCAGTCAGTTCCAGCAGTTCAAAACCTGGAAACACCCAGTGGCTGAACTTCACTCAGTAAACATGTCCTTCCAGTCCTCAGCAAGGGCACTCATTTGCTGATTGCATGCCAACACTCCTATTTAAAGAACTGTTGTTATTGGAAATAGCTGAAACCTTTCTACAGCAGGGATTAAGTGCTCCCTGCACCTTGTGCCTTGCCTGCAGGAATGCATCAATTCCCAGCATGTGCTTCCACAGCAGTTTTACCACAGCCACAGTAACATGCATTATCAGCCTGCAAAAGTCCATCAAACCCCTGTGTGGGCAGGATCCCCAGATAGTCCTTCCAAGCAGCTGCTCTGGCTCAGCCCAGGTTTTCCTCAGGCCTTCTCCCTAAGGTACAAAATGTTATCCATGACACTAAGCTCTCTACCTTTACCCTTCATCTCCAAAAACAACTCTCCTAAGCTGCTTCTTAGATATCTCTAGCAGGTTCAAGCCAGATGCCTAAAGGCCCTTACGAGGCATTGCCAGGCTGCTCATAAGCAAATGCTCAGCTCTGATGTAGGTTAGATTTCTGCAAAAATGACATTCTCAGGAGACCTTGTACATACACTCCTGCATGAATGTCAGTCTTTTCAATTGGCATCACAACTTAGGAAGCAACAGCTAATGAAAGAGGAATAAAGCAGAACCACTCATATACACAATTTTAAGACTCTCCCAAGCTGAACTGAGATATACAGGACATTCATTTCTACATGAAAATGCATCCATTTTATGTTACAGGAAAACCAGTCCATTTTTGTGTACATGAAAAGCAAATTAGGAGACAGTATAGGAAACTATAATATAACAAACATGTGAATGCATCTGTCTGTTTAAACAAAAAAAGACACTTGGAAAAACAAATCTGGCATCAGGAGAGATAAGAACAATATTGTCTTAAATCAATCACATTATCACTTGGACTGTGATAGCACCTGGAGATCTCTTTCAAGTACCAGAAACCTGCTGTGATAGGCACCTGCTACACAGCATACAAGTTCCCTTGAAAATATAGGTAGCTTGTATCTAGGCCAAACACAGTTAGACTGTTGCTATGCAACTCATCTGTGATACTAAGTACTTTCTACACTACGAAGTAAGTTTGCATAGCCAGCCATCAATTTAGATAAGGACTATCTTTGTAAAGAAAGAGGTTGAAGACAGTGGCTTATATAGCATGAAACTCTTGTAGTTTCATAGGAGCAGATCTTAGCATCCTCTTTCCTTTGCAAACTCTATGACTGGATATAAACTGCCTGAGATTTTAGAAATAGTCCTTGTGGTAACTGTGACAAGATGCACCATGTCATTACTAAAACAGATTATACATTGAGAAATCCTAGTGGAAAACCAGCTACAAACAGGACATGGAGACAACCCTACCTCAGGTACTGAATTGCTCTGTTGGGATCCATCCCCATACAGGCCACCAATTGCTGATGTCAGTGCTTGGCACCAATCAACAGTGGATAGGAACTGACTGTCACTGTTAGTTTATTACCTCACTGTAAGACTTTCATACCTTCTCTCTGTGATTTCTCATGGGCAGCTCTCACAGCACTGATTCCTTTTCTCTTTCTTCTGCACAGCTGCCTGACTTCTACCTGTCCCTATCACAACTGCCTGACCCTTCTGTCCCTAACATGAACACCTGACCCTTTCTGTCCCCAGCAGCACAGACTGACCCTTTCTGTCCCTAACATGAACATCTGACCCTTTCTGTCCCCAGCAGCACAGACTGACCCTTTCTGTCCCTAACATGAACATCTGACCCTTTCTGTCCCCAGCAGCACAGACTGATCCTTCCTGTCCCTAACATGAACACCTGACCCTTGCTCCTCGCAGCAGCACAGCCAACTGACTCCAACTCTCCTCTCGACCAGCTAAACCACCCTTTTACAACACCCATCCTTACTGGACACAGCTAGGCAAGGCTGTTCCTGCTCTTTGGTAATTAGTACAGCTGCAATTCCTCAGGGGCAAAATTGCCTTCAGCACTATCTCTAGTCTTCTACAATCCATCCTCCCACACTTCTCCAACAAAGATTCCACAGCAAGCAGCTCTTAGGATGTATTTCAAATAACTTAAATGCTTTTGGAAAGTTGATGAAACAATAGTCATTAGGTTTTTGGCAGGTGGAGTCCACTTGAGTTAAATTTTATTCACAATGTATTTTTTATTCACTATTTGTATCTATTGCTTCTTACTATTCCTTTTTGCAGGCCACAGAGGAGAAGCCTCTTTTGTAGACATGAGTAGTGTGCTGGATATTGGTTCACCCTGGGAGCTGTAAAACCCATTGTCCAGGATGCTACAGTTGTTAATATTTTACAGGCATTTCAGGAGAGTGGGACAAATTCCTGGTAAATAAATTTATTGAAGACAGCACCTCTACCACAAATCATTGAATACAGAAGATCATTCTGAAGAGTACCATGATATCTCTGATCAATTCTTGTGCTCTTCTGTAGATATCTACTGCCAGCAACCATCCAAATTATAAGGCTAGGCTAGATTTACTTTTGATTTGACCGAGACCAACCTTCAAACTACTCAGAGCAGACATCATAGGAGCCATCCTAGTAGCCACTCCCTTTTGGCATAATTAATGGCCATGAATGGCTTTACAGGGCTGCTTCTAACACTTTGCAAAGCTAGGCCATTTGAGGATGTGAGGTGAAATGAATCCATCAGACATCTGCCTTATTACACCACTGTTGCATGAGGAATGCCACTCAGAGCCACAGAGTACCTTTAGCAGGTAGACCCATTTCAAGTCATACAAACAAGACTCCCAACAATGGTGAATGACTAAGCATCACCCCAAGCCAAGAACCCTTTTATAGTAAATACAATAATAACGTAACACTTCTTTCCCTCCTTCCTCTTACTTTTTAAAATTTACTTCATCCTTAGGGGAAAAAAAAAAAAACAAACAAAAAGAGACTTCCAGTGATATTGCCTTTTTCTGGTTTCTCTGTATAGGTACTATTAATATATAGGTATTATATAATGTGTACAGATATTATTAATGTATTAAGCAATGTCATAGAGCTTGGGGAAATAATGCCTTGATCGCTATTCTGGTTCTTCTCATTTAAAAGTAGCCCACCATCATCAGAGGTCCCCTTCAGATGGTGGACATCTTCAGAGCAGGCTGTTCAGAGGATAAAGGCCACCATTCAGAAGCACAGATAAAAACCCATCTCAAAAGTTAAATCTGGGAAGAAATCTTCCTGTTTTTACAATTAGCTGTATTCAATACTGTGTAATATGTCAGCTTCTGCTAAGGCAAACAAAAATTTTAAACTGTGCCAACAGAAGAAATGGAACTACTCTTCTTTTTTGTTTTTTTTTTTTGCAAATCCACCTTACTACACACAAACATTTTTGCATGCTGTAATCTAGTCTCATTTTTTACTAAGTTTTATGGGATGGAATAGTAAAATCTAGTTAGAATGAGGAAGATGAGGAAGCTAAGGGATGAGGGGATTCTCTGCCTACAAAGAACATGTAGTGCAATTCTTATAGAACAATCCTCCAATACTTAATGTCTTTTCTTTCTGTGTAATAAAGGGTTGCACTTATTTCCACTGAGAGATTTTAAGTAAAAGATTGCTTTTGTAAATTACTGAAAAATTACTTGTCTTTAATTAGGAACCAAGTATCTCAAAACATGTTTGTATTTTACAATCAAAATTTATTTCCAGCTGTTTTAGATGCAAGACAAAAGTTATCACTGCTTATTTGATAAATAGAATGAAATCTTCATGGTGCAACACATAATTTTATCTTTCTTACATTTTCTGAGCTGAGAGACACAAAGAACATTTGTTCCCAAAACTATTCAGAGCAGACTAAGAATTACATAAGACAAGAACCAGTTCTTTGAAGAGCCCTTTGGAAAGACCACATATTAACCCATATTGTAGTACTGTGTCAAAATAACACTCAGGAGAAAAAACCCACCATCAGATGCTATGAAATAATCTGTGGCTCTACCTGACATGTCGGCCCTAGTGCAATTCGGCACAGTGCAATTACTTGAATCACAGAATCACATTGTTGGAAGAGACCTTCAAGATCATCGAGTCCAACCCCTTCCCTAACACCTCAACTAAACCATGGCACTGAGTGCCACATCCAGTCTTTTTTTAAACACATCCAGGGATGGTGACTCCACCACCTCCCAAAGCAGAGCATTCCAATACTTTATTTTGATATCTAGTCTTTTCCAGGTCTAGATATCAAATTAAATCTGCCTTCAAGATTAAAAATCAACTAAACAAACAAACAAACAAACCCAAAAAAACTAGAAACAAAACAAACCAGCACCTGCAGAGGCTTATCTTGTGGGAGTTAATCCCTGAAGGTTTACATTAGCACTTCCACCAATAGAGGGATTACAGAAGAGAAAGTTGTAGAAGAGAATTTCATTAATACTGTTTCCTCACTGGAAAAGGAACAGAAAAGGCAAAACCAAATCAAAAAACTGTGTGAATGCAGAGAAACATGTTGGCATTTCCTCTTTATGAGTTTCTGTGTGCTGTAAATGTTCCTCAGTCCTGCATTTTCATTCCTGGTGGTCATTTTAGTTACTGAGGAATTTTTAAGTAGAGGGATTTACAGTATTTTCAACTTACAGCTGTTCACAGAAGAACCAGGGGGCACTAAAGACATCACTGAAACTGCTGACACCTGCTCTTTTGGAAGTCCCATTTCTCATGAAGTATGCAAGTTCTCTTTTAGTACAGATCATGGGCCAAATATGGCTGGGGCTAAATATGGGACACTTACTGTCCCTTCAAGGACCACTGCAGAGATTAATGCATTCAGAGGCACACAAAACCCATAATTGTTGGGATTTTCTCAAGAACATTTCCAAGTTCAGCACAATCTTTTGAGTGCAATCTGTTGTTGTTGTTCTGTAAGTAATTGTTTCAAGTGTATTTGCTCAAGATTCCATCACTACTTCTGAGGGCTTTTGTTTTGCAAAAGGTGCAGGAACATTTTCCCCTTTCATGTTTTCATACTATTCAGAGTTATATAGTTCAAAATAATATAGACACTATTCTTTTCTTGCTAAATCAACTCCTGAGCACTTCACAAAACACACTGGTAGATATCACACACCTTCAAGCTCACAAATAACCAGGTTCTGCTGAACTTTGATGTAGGAGGAGGCAGGCACAGTATAGATCCTCACAGGGACTAAAGCTTTTTTTAAACCATCAGTCCAGGCATGACAAATTTCCAAATTCATTGAAGGAGTATCCTCAAAACTAGCATTCAAAACCCATTAAAAACAAAAAGAAGAAAAAAAAAAAGAAAAAAGAAAAAAAAAGTTGGAT